CCCTGTGCGTCCTTCTCCTTCGGCCCGTTTTTGACCGCTTTCGTTGGCCGCGCCCCGCTCGCAACGTGTCGACACTGCCTTCCACGGTCCTTGCATCCTTATCGTGCGTTCTGATAATATGAGTTGGTTGATTGTAGTTTTCATTTATACTTAGACTCTTTCAGTCGTCCACGAAGCACTGGTTCGCCATATTCGGACGGTATAACCTGAACGGGACAGCATAGTGTATGCCGTTGCGGCGCCAACAGACAAATGGTCGACAGATGCTCCCGACGCCCAGGTGGCCCGATGCATTGGGCACAACTTTTCAACCTGTTCAGCCACAATTTTCCCAACCCCGAGCATGCATCGACATTCAAAGTAGCGCGCACACTTGCTGTGTACGCTCACGTAGCAGAACACACACAGACACAAAAGGGTGGCCGCCTCCTCACGCAGTAACCGAACGTTTGTCGGTTTTAGGTTTGATCTGCTTGCGGGATGGTCCGCTTTTGCTCTTCCTGAGGAGCCATGCATTTCTGATGCGATGCTCTGTTTTGCGGTCGGCTCCTTCGGAACCGCGAAGCACATGTTGTCGTTGTTGCTGGTACGTCTTTCCGAGTTCATCGTGGCTTCCTGATCGTTATGGGTCGCGGGGTCCTACCCATTGTACTCCTCCTCCTCCTCCTCCTCCTCCTCCTCCTCCTCCTCCATGCCATTTGCTGGGTAGGGCGGCCTTTCTTCGAGCACGCTTGGCCGAGCTGAAGCAAGCGCCACCCAACAAACGCGCCCCCGCACCAGCTCCACGCCGACTGATCCGTCCTGCTCTCTTGCTCGACCTGCTCCCTCCCTGCAGTCAGGCTTCGAGAGTGGAGCGGCGCCGCTGGGGGGACGGGACAGAACAGGAGGGGCCGATCTGGAGGAGGATATGCTCTGCCTTTCGCCCCTCTCTGAACCCCCCAGGCTCTGACGTCCGAGGAGGAGGATTCTGAGGAGGAGGGCCCAGGCTCCCACGTGCGGCCCACTCTCTCCTCGGGGCGGTCCCTCGTTGCCGGGCCGTCCCCCCAAGGCCCAGGGTCGGGGAGCCGAGCCGTGGCCGAGGCTCGCCGTGGCCAGGCCCTATAGCTGGGCTGCTGGTGCCTCTCCTGCCCCCCCCCCCCCCTTTAGCCGCCAGGGGGGGGGGGGGCAGGAGAGGCACACGCACGGCCTCCCCCTCTTCCATCTCGGCCCCCCTGCAGGGTGGGGGGGGTGGGGGGCAGGAGAGGCACACGCACGGCCTCCCCCTCTTCCATCTCGGCCCCCCCTGCAGGGTCTCCGCGGTTCGGACGCGTGCGGTCGGTCCGGTTCGGCCGGCCGTCGTGCCGTTGCTGCGCCGCCGCGCGCCTCCAGGCTGCTTACCTGCGGCTCGTCGCCTGTTTCGTCGTCGGTTTCGTTTCTGGGTTCGGTAGGTTTTTGAGATGTGTTGTCGAAGTGGGCGACCTTGTGAGTGAGGCGGGAGAATAACAGGAACGGGAAGAGGAGGATGAGGAGGACCCTTCTGGCGCCCACTGGATGCTTCCGGAGGGCTTTCGGGAACGAGTAGGGGGGGGGAGGGGTGGCCTTTTTGGCAGTTGTAGTGCTGGTGCCCCAGATAACTACCCTCCGCGTTATTCATTGCAGCACGCTGACTGTGTGAGGAGGATTTGCGGCGACAGGGTAGGTGGATGCGAGCGTGCAGAGCCGAGGGGCGAGAAAACAGAAGGCAGGGGGCACGGGCGAGAGCTTCCGTCCGGGTCGCGATGCCGTGCTTTCCCTTGTTCCGTCCTCGGACCTCCTCAGTGAGAGGTTGCCGTGGCGCTGCCGTCGGTGATCCAGTTCGATGACATCTTGAACTTTGACACCATCAAGGCGGCTATTGTGTAAGCCGTGCAATCATTCTGTGGTGCGACTTCGATCTCATTTCCTTTCCATGGCCCTCCTTTCGACGCCGCTGCCTTGTTGTCGCGCAGGTAGACAGAGCCATCTTGATCCGATCTGTTCGGTTCGAGATCGGCTGGGGCCTTGCTCGATCCGATGTGAGTCCGACATTTCGACGATCCAGTGCGGTCCAGTGCTCGCATGCCGTTGGTGTACATCCTGGCGCAGCCGATCCGATTCGATTTCGGCTCCGCGCCGACGAAGCCCGATCCAGCGCACCTTCCGATGCGATCCGACTTCCCGATCCGAGGCCGACCGATCTCGGTAGGGGATGGACGCGCGGGGCCGGGGACGTGCTGCGAGGCAATGGGCGTAAGGCAGGGACGATCGTGTCCGCTTCTCAGCTCTCCTGGAGCCTTCGATAGGCGCTCGGGAAGGGCAAGCACAAGGACTTGGTGGAGCTGTGCGGCGTCTTCCTCAGCGGTGCTCGCCCGCCTCCCGCTGCAACCCTGGCCAGGTTCAGAGTGGACAGACTGATCCAACGTGAGGGCATGCTAAAGAGTTCGCCGAGAAGGCGAATGCCGAACAGAACTCGAGCTCGTGCGAATCACGCTTCCCTGCCTTGTGACTCCATCATGATCTATTGTCTCTTGCCGTAATCTCTCGCCGTCTCGCCCTCGTGTGCGCTGCTGGTTTCTTCTGTTTGCCCATGTGCCCATGTGCAATCATCAGGAGGAAAACACACAGACACAATTGATCGTCGATCCCCAGAAAATATGGTGTGGGGGGAAGACAAAACCCATACCATATGGGAAAATATGCGGACTCCTGTTATTTGTGTCTATTTCTTTGTGTGTCCCCGGGCTCCTTCAAATCATCCTGCGCTGCTTGCCGCCACTTGGCTGCCGTCCTGCAGCTCTTTCGAAGATGACGCCGTGGCAGCGCTTACGAACAAGCTCGAGTGGCGATGGCGTGCGTCACCACCCACCAAACCACCCCAATTTGTCCTCCATTTCCAGTGGGGGGGGATCGGGGAACATTGAAAAAGCATATGGAACCCGTACCCCCCCAACCCGAAATTTGGGGGTTAAATTCGGGTCTTCGGGTTGGGTTGGGGTGGTCTCGTAGGTAGACAGTGCGGAGGAGCTGCTCATGCATTGTTTTTGTCGCGAATTCTCGTTTGTGGGGAATCTGGAGAGGCACCGTCTCCGACTTGGGCGCCTTCCAGAAGAAGCATCCCAAGCTCTTCGAGGAGCACTCCCTGAAGTTCGAGGACGCCCTTGCCAAGGCGCCGCCTGCCCCGCTCCAGGGCCCGCGGGGGAAGGCACGACACGCCGGTGCCCTGCGTGGACGAGGGTGGGAGATTCTCCGCGCAGCCCGCACCCAGCACGTCGACCTCTACGAGTGAAGGATGCCCTCGTGCCCTCCCACGCCATCCCCCCTCTGCCGTTTCGCCCCGTGCCCCCTCGGAAGGCACGGACTCGGTTTGCCAGGGTTTCGGTTCGCCAGGGCTCGGTTCGGCGGGGTTTGCTTCGCCGGGGCTCGCTTCGCCAGGGCTCGCTTCGCCCGGCCCGGCTCGATTTGCCCAGCTCGGTTCGTCGGGACTCGGTTCGCCAGGGCTTGGTTCGCCCGACTCGGTTCGCCAGGGCTCGTTTCGCCGGGGCTCGTTTCGCCGGGGCTCGCTTCGCTGAGGCTCGCTTCGCCGGGCGGGCGGGCCCTGAGCAGCGGGTCGGGTCGGGCGGGCGGACCCCAGCGGGCTTTCTGGTCGGGCGGGCGGGACATCAAGTTATGACTCGTCATCGAGCCAGCGAGCCCTGACGGGCGGGTCGGGTCGGGCGGGCGCGAGCCCTGACGGGCGAATCGGGTCGGGCGGGCGGCCCCGAACGGGTGGGTCGGCGGGCGAGCGGCCACCGCCTCGCGGAGGGCCGGAGCCGGGCGACCCTGAGCATCCGGATCCTGAAGAAGTTCTGGAATCCAGAACTTCTCTGGATCATCCAGAACTTTTCCAGATCGGGACATACCATTCGTATTACAGCTGAGATCCCTAACTCTCCTGGCAACAATCCATACCTCTTCTGGTTCCTGACAGTCTGCACATATACATAAGTAGTATAATTGCAAACATAGGGTACGATGCATTATCATTGACTGTTGCATTATAGTTTTAGCTTGGGATGGTGCTAGAAAGCGCGATACATTGTTCGTTCATGATGTGTTGGGGCTAATGTATTATAGAAAAGCTCAGGGCGCGGAGTCCACGTTTATGTGCTTACCTGTCCCAGCTCCCGTCCCTGCCGCCCCCCCCCATCATTCCCGTTCGCTTTCGTCGAGATTGTTGTTACTCTCGTCCTCTTGATGCACTTCTGGAAGAGATCAGGGTGAGAGAGCGCGTTTAGATTCTCCTTTCTAAAAAGAGAATAGACTCTACCCCCCCCGGCGTTATCGCTACCCCTTTCGGGTATGTAAATCATATATGATTCTGACCATATATCCATCCTAAATATGAAATTACAGTGTCCCAGGCCAGCCAGGTTTCCCCCCCTGAGGGTCCCTTGTAAAAAAACTATGCGGTGACATTTTTTGTTCTAACATTGCACTTTTTCACGAATCCCTTGCAAAAAACTGGACGAAGTGCACGCGCGCGTCGTCGCGCGCGTATGCCGAAATCCTTTAAAAACCTTCGGTGCCGGAAGGATTTCGCAATCGAGTTTCCAAACAACATACAAAAACACAGGGTTTCGCAACACCGATTTGCTAAAAAAGCTTCCGCGCGAGCTCTTGTGCAATCTTAAGAAAACCATCGGTTTTTCAATATGTGCACAAAATGGTACCAAACGGGCTTCGCGCACGCATGTCGAAATCAGTCGAACGCCCTTGCGTGTGTGCCGTCGCGAGAATCCTCTGCAAAAAATGGGACGAAGTGCAGACGCGCGCGTCGTCGCACGCGTATACCGATATCCTTCAAAACCCATCGGTTTCGGAAGGATTTCAAAATCGTGTGTCCAAAAAACATACAAAAACCGATGGTTTCGCAACACGGGTTTTCAACAAAAGCGGTCGCGCGCGCTCTTGCGTCGTCGGCGTCTTCCTTCCTCGTCGTTGTCGGCGTTGTCGTCGTTGTCGCCGTCGTCGTCCTCCCTCCTCCCTCGTCGTCGTCTTCGTTGGCGACGTCGTTGTCGTCTTCGTCGTCGTCGTCGGCGTCGGCGTCGTTGTCGTTGTCGTCGGTGTCGTCGTCGTCGTCGTCGTCGTCTTCGTCGTCGTCGACGTCGGCGTCGTCGTCGTCGTCGCCGCCGTCGTCGTCGTCGTCGTCGTCGTCGGCGTCGTTGACGTCGTCGTCGTCGCCGTCGGTGTCATCGTTGTCGTCGTCGTCGGCGTCGTCATCGTCGTCGTCGTTGTCATCGTCGTCGTCGTCGTCGGCGTCGGCGTCGTCGTCGTCGTCGGTGTCGTCGTCGTCGTCGTCGTCGTCGTCGGCGTCGGTGTCGTCGTAGTCGTTGGAGACGTCGTCGGTGTCGTCGTAGTCGTTGTCGGCGGCGTCGTCGTCGTCGTCGTCGCTATCGTCGTCGGCGTCGCTGTCGTTGCCAAGTGCCATTAGGTACCCACCGTCACGGGCTTAAGAGATTTTGCAAACCAAATTGCGGGTGGGTGGGTGGGATGTTTGCAAGAGTGCGGGAATGCACCACATAGATTGCGCCACACATAAATTCTCCCCCGTTCGCTGCCGTCGAGATTGTTGTTACTCTCGTCCTCTTGATGCACTTCTGGAAGACATCACGGTGAGAGAGCGCGTTTAGATTTTCCTTTCTAAAAAGATAATAGACTCTACCCCCCCCGGCGTTATCCCCCCCTTTCGGGCATGTAAATCGTATGTGATTCTAACCACATGGCCATCCTAAATATGAATTTACACTATCCTGGAGGGGCCGGTATCGACCCCCCTGATTTTCCTTGATGAAAAACGAAACGCGGGGACATCTTTTGTTCTAGCGTAAGACTTTTTCACGAATCCCTTGAACAAAATGGGACGAAGTGCACACGCGTGCGTCGTCGCGCGCGTATGCCGAAATCCTTTAAAAACCTTCGGTGCTGGAAAGACTTCGCAATCGAGTTTCCAAACAACATACAAAAACACAGGGTTTCGCAACACTGATTTGCTAAACAAGCTTCCGCGCGAGCTCTTGCGAAGTCTTAAGGAAACCATAGGTTTTTCAACATTTTCACAACATGCTATTAAACGGGCTTCGCGCGCGCATGTCGAAATCTGTCGAACGCCCTTGCGCGTGTGCCGTCGCGAGAATCCTCTGCAAAAAAATGGACGAAGTGCAGACGCGCGCGTCATCGCGCGCGTATGCCGAAAACCTTCAAAACTCAACGGTTTCGGAAGGATTTCAAAATCGTGTGTCCCAAAAACTTACAAAAACACAAGGTTTCGCAACACGGATTTTCAACAAAAGCGTGCGCGCACGCTCTTGCGTCGTCGTCGTCGTCGTCGCCGTCCTCCCTCCTCCCGCGTCTTCGTCGTCGTCGTCGTCGCCTACGTCGTCCTCTGTCTTTCCTCGTGTTCGTCGTCGTCGTCCTCTTTGGCGTCGTGATCGTTTCCGTCGTCGTTGTCGCCGTGGTCGTCCTTCCTCCTCCTCCCTCGTCGTGTCGTCCGTCGCCGGCGTTTCGTCGTCGTCCCTCCTGTTTCGTCGCCGTCGTCGTCGTCGTTGTCGTCGTCGTCGTCGTTGTCGTCGTGTTCCCTCCCCCCTCGTCGTTGTCGTCGTCGGCGTCGCCGTCCTTCCTCCTTCTTCGTCGTTCACGTCGTCGCTGTCCTCCCTCCTCCCTCGTCGTTGTCGTCGTTGTCGTCGTTGTCGTCGTTGTCGCCGTCGTCGTCTTCCCTCCTCTCTCGTCGTCGTCTTCGTTGGCGACGTCGTCGTCGTCTTCGTCGTCGTCGTCGGCGTCGGCGTCGTTGTCGTCGTCGTCGAAGTCGTCGGAGACGTCGTCGTCGTCGTCGCAGTCGTTGTCGTCGGTGTCGTCGTAGTCGGTCTTAAGAGGTTTTGCAAACCAAGTTGCGGGTGGGTGGGTGTGGGATGCTTGCAAGAGCGCGGGATGTGTCAAATCATGGGTAGAAATCAATTCTCCTTTCTCGAAACATAGTAGGATCTACCCCCCCCCGGCGTTATCACTCCCCCTTTCGGGTATGTAAATCATATATGATTCTGACCACATGTCCATCCTAAATATGAAATCGCAATGTCCCAGGCCAACCGGTATCCCCCCCCCCTGAGGGTCCCTTGTAAAAAACAGTATGCGGTGACATTTTTTGTTCTAACGTAGAACTTTTTCACGAATCCCTTGCAAAACATGGGACGAAGTGCACACGCGCGCGTCGTCGCGCGCGCATGCCGAACTCCTTCAACAACCCGGAAAGACTTCGCAATCGAGTTTCCAAACAACATACAAAAACACAGGGTTTCGCAACACTGATTTGCTAAACAAGCTTCCGCGCGAGCTCTTGCGAAGTCTTAAGGAAACCATAGGTTTTTCAACATTTTCACAACATGCTATTAAACGGGCTTCGCGCGCGCGCATGTCGAAATCTGTCGAACGCCCTTGCGCGTGTGCCGTCGCGAGAATCCTCTGCAAAAGATTGGACGAAGTGCAGACGCGCGCGTCGTCGCGCGCGTATGCCGAAAACCTTCAAAGACCATCGGTTTCGGAAGGATTTCAAAATCGTGTGTCCCAAAAACTTACAAAAACACAAGGTTTCGCAACATACATTTTCAACAAAAGCGTGCGCGCGCGTGCTCTTGCGTCGTCGTCGTCGTCGTCGCCGTCCTCCCTCCTCCCGCGTCGTCGTCGTCGTCGTCGCCTACGTCGTCCTCTGTCTTTCTTCGTGTTCGTCGTCGTCGTCGTCCTCTTTGGCGTCGTGGTCGTTTCCGTCGTCGTTGTTGCCGTGGTCGTCCTTCCTCTTCCTCCCTCGTCGTCGTCGTCCGTCGTCGGCGTCTCGTCGTCGTCCCTCCTGTCTCGTCGCCGTCGTCGTCGTCGCTGTTGTCATGGTCGTCTTCCCTCCCTTCGTCGTTGTCGTCGTCGGCGCTGCCGTCCTTCCTCCTTCTTCGTCGTTCGCGTCGTCTTCGCCCTCCCTCCTCCCTCGTCGTTGTCGTCGTTGTCGTCGTTGTCGCCGTCAGCATCCTTCCTCCTCACTCGTCGTCGTCTTCGTTGGCGACGTCGTCGTCGTCTTTTTCGTCGTCGTCGGCGTCGGCGTCGTTGTCGTCGTCGAAGTCGTCGGAGACGTCGGTGTCGTCGTAGTCG